ATTTCAAATCTACTTGGACTAACATGTTTTGGCAGGTTAGGAGTCATCATCAGCTAAGACAGTTTTATTTTCTAACAGGGTGGTTGACCTTTGAAATGGGTTGCCTTCAGATGTTGTGGAGGCAGTACATTTAAGAGAAAGCTTAATAAGTATATGAATGATAAAGGCTGGCTTAAGATTTTTTTTTTATGATTTATTAATAGTTTAGTTTAGAGGATGGAACAGCCGAGATGGACCATGTTGTCCCAAAACATTATGTTATGTTTCATTACTTTGTTTCTTTCCTCCCAGTTAGTTTAACTCCTCCCAAACAAATGATCTTTTTAGAAAACAGCGATATTAGTGTTTTATAAAACTCGAGAGAAGAGGTGGTACGAAAATCTCATGACAACTTAGTGTCAGGTGCATCAAAGACATTATTAGAATTCAAAAAGACATAAACTTAAACCTAACATCAGTTCTTTATAATTTATGTAATTATTCTTATAGGTACCTGTAACTTATTAAATCTAACAATATTTAAATACTGTTAATCAGTAGACTTCTGTTTTAGTTTGTTTAGTATATTATATAAAGAATTAAACGTGTAATGAAATGTATTCAGAAAAGTGAATGGTGTCAGAATGTTTTAAAATGAAAAAAAATTGGACGAAAGAACTTAGATTAAATTCATATAAATATATATGTTCTAAATTTCGTGTTAGTTTTTGTGACAAATGTGTTACTGAAGCTTGGGACTAAAGTACCAGGAATTTTACCATAGTCTGTATTAATTATATAAATATGACAAATGAAATATTTGTGAAATGTATAAATGTCTTTTTTTCCTCACTTCTGTCATTCTATACTTTCTAAAAATTCTACCTTCAATTTACAGACTTGTTTTTTTATATTGTTCACTACCAGTGAGGTCTGAATATTGTACCACATTGGGAAATATTTAACTATTACAACACTCGAGGTAAAGAACTAACCAAAGGAATTGGCTGGAATTACTAATATTCTATATAAAATACGTGATTAACTGCAATATCGATTGTGTTTTGTTTGACTCGTATGTTACCAGGTGGCTGTGTAACCAACAAAGGCATGGACTTGTAAACAATTTGGTGGATGTGGCTCTTGTATTAAAAAAAATAAGATTTTTGTGAAAGCAAAAAATTTGGTTCGAAATTGTTTTAATGATAGTGATTTTGTTAAGTACAAACTAACTCTGTGTTTTCATGCACGTAAATATATATATATATATATATATGTATGAAGTTTCTGTTTTGTAGGTTAATTCTGTAGATGGTCTTGATCAAAATCTTTCTCACTGTTGTTCACGAGATGGTAAAGTCCAAGCCTTTTGGGCACAGCTATCTTATGGTATTGATCTTTATAAAGGACGTGGCAGGTTATCACCAGAAAGAACTTAGGACGTGGCAGGTTATCACA